GTCACATTATAACGCCCCCACAGATGAAAGGGCGAGCATGTTTGGTGGAACGGGGATTCGAATCCGCGACCCTCAGATTGCGAGTCGAGTGCCCTAACCACCTGGCCATGCCGGGCCTAAATTAGAAATGAATGCTAGCAATATAAATGTAAGATCCGGAGTGAACTGTTTTCAGGTGTAATAGAAACAGTCATTTATGAATGTCAATAAAAAAATATTCTTTAACAATATCTAAATTGTTTTAATCAGATATGGTGTTCTGAAATAATCACAAAAGAAATGTAGTATTTTTTATTCTTTTGATTTCTCTTTAATGTCTGGTTGCGAGTTCAATCACACAGGCTTGCGATGATTTTATTGTCTTGAATTTTTTACATGTTCAACAGTAATTCCTGTACGCTGAATCCGAAAATGATATCCATTTTTCTCCATTGCATATAGATTTTTCACAAAACGTCATATGTACTTTTACATAAGTGAATCATTTTCATGGAAATCGGGTCACATTTTGTTATGTTTAAAATGATGACAACAACTGGCTATAGATTTCTCTAGATCAGTCGCGACGTGAGAGTCTTATCGATCGTTTTAGACCTACGAGACACACATCGCTAGTATATAAACGGTTAACAGGCCGCATGACGTGTCATTTCTAGATTTGGTGCGAGATTTAGGCCTTCCAAAGGATTCTTCAGAGATTTTGGGGTTCAGACTTCGGGCTAAGAACTTACCTTCTCCAGGGACATCATTTTACAGGTACAGAAATCGTAAGAAAGAGTTTATACCATACTTTTCACAAGAAAGTTCCTTGGTTTATTGCAACAATATTGCTGAATTAATACCAATGCTAGGAGCTGTAGTCTATAAACCAAGTGAGGGGCGACTGTTCATTGATTCCTCCAAAAGAAATCTAAAAGGTGTTCTCCTTCACAACGGTAACATTTATGCAGCTGTTCCTATTGCTCATTCTGTTCACTTGAAGGAAACGTACGAAAATCTCGAACTTCTTAATAAGGTCAAATACAAAGAACATAGTTGGCTACTTTGTAGAGACTCAAAAGTCCTTTGTATGTTGTTGGGTCAACAATCCGGTTATACAAAGTTTCCAAGTTTTTTGTGTGAATTGGACGGCAGAGCACGAAATCAGCACTGGACAAAGAAGCAATGGCCACGCAGAGTCAACTTGATACCAGGATCGAAAAACAACAACATTGAACGTGAAAGTTGGGTTGACACAAAGAAAGTCCTATTACCT